GGCTGCAGACCTCAGCTTTCCCTTTTTAGTCACAAACATGGAGTCTTGCAGGATGATTTCTAAGGGACTTTCCCTCACGTTTGCTTACCCGTTATGGTTTCTTCTCCCACCTTTCTTTGCTTCAAGCCCAACTCTGTTCTAATTTGCCTAAGCAATCTTGCAGCCGTCTGAGATTTGTGTTTCCAACATCACTGTTTTAAGCCAGGACTGCAGTGACAGACACGCTCTTAGTGATCTGACAGGTTTCTTCCATTGAGAAAGAGAACTTCTAAATCAGAATTTGGGGACTGAATGGTGGATAACTAAGTTTAAATATATATATATGATGATAAATACTACAAATACACAGTAGTACCTTTCTTGTGACTGTAGGCTTAGATCTTAATATATTTTGAGATCTGAATAGTGTATTCTAGAAGGAGCTTAGTAAAGAATCATTTTCTCTATGTCTAACTACTAGACATAAATTTCAGAGTTGTGGCTTGGAATCAGGAATATTTTGCTGAAAGTCGCTGCAATTTGTTAGTCATGCTTCTGATACTAAAATTGCCATGTGGTGTTGGGGGTGATCATTGCCTGATGAAGAACTTCAGGTGCGGCGAGTTCCTGATGAGGATTTTATTACCACGCATGGAACGAGGCATGGAGGTTGTCAGTCGAGGGCATTTACATCCTGGAAAATGTATTTTCTCCCAAGTATCAATTACAAAACAATCCAGCTTGCACATTTAATTCAAGTAACTTAACTTCTGGGTTTAACATGATTCATAGGTTCCACATTAGTATTGAAAATAAAAATGTGTGTGATTTGGGTAATTTGTTTTGTAACATGTTAAAGAAAAAAAGGGTAAAAGGTCATTTTATTGGGTTTTAGAGGAATATGTTTGGAAGTGAAATAACGCATCTCATTTTTTTCTTTCCCAGCATTGTCATGGAAATACTGCGAGTACTGGCTTTGGTTGGTCAGATTCTTTTTTCACTGGCTGCTGTTTTTCTTTCATGTCTTATTATGAAGACTTACCTCATAGGACCGTACTATCGAAAGCTGCACATGGAAAGCAAAGGAAACAAAGAAATCCTTGTCTTAGGGTTATCTGCCTTCATCTTTTTAATGTTAACGGTAATTCTCAAATCATCTATATGTTATTTATATAATCTGATTTATAATCTGCTTCACTGAAAGCTTGCAATCAGTTGTTTATCTTTTCCTTTTAGTAAGGACTAAAATATTTGAAGCACTCATTCGTATTTTTACCCTTTGCATAGTTTATTATGCTTCTGTCAATATATAGCACGATGAGCGAAATCTGTTTAACTGTTTGGACTCACACTTGTAAGCACTTTGCTAAAATGTTATTTGTAATGTAATTTGTAAGTGCTGCATTAAAGACAAATCTGTGGTCAGGAAAAGTCACATAAACACCAACGTCAAACCATGTTACCTTTGTCTTAAACTTTCCAACAGCTTTTCACCTGAAATATAAGATTAAGTGTAAAAACAATTTTTAGTTTAGTTTGATGATGACAAGCTAGTTAAAAGTATAAGTTTTATTGCCTTAATGTGAAAGATTTTCTAAAAGGTTCATTTTGGAAAGCAGCAGCTTCTTATACAGAAGACAAGCTTTTCATGAGGGAGTGGGGGGAAGGCTCTTAGACTCCCGTAGTAGTCTAAGCAGTAAGGACGGTGTCATCATACACTTGTACCACACGACCCAGCAGTTGTGCTCCTCAATGTTTATTCCAGAGAAGTGAAGACTTACGTTCACATGGAAACTTGTACACGTATGTTTATGGCAGTTTTATTTGTATTAGCCAAAAACAGTCCAGATGTCCTTCAACAGGTGAATGTTAAACTGTGGTATGTCCATGCCGTGGAACGCCACCCAGCAATAAAGCCTGGTGCACATAGACCTTGGGGAGTCTCCGGAGGATCATGCCAAGTGACAGCACCAGTCCCAAAGTCTGCATGCCATGTGATTCCACACACACAGCATTTATGATGTGATGACACTACGGCAGTGAGAACAGCTTAGTGGTTGCAAGGGGCTGAGGACTTGGTCAGACGGGTGTCCTGTGTCTCCCAGGGTTGACATCAGTGTCCTATAGTTTGGCAAGGCATTACCATAGGGGAAACTGAGTGAAGGGTACATGAGGCCTCTGTCTCATTTCTCAGTCTGCACATGAAGGTACAATCATCTCAGAATGAAAGTTCTATTTTTAAAAAGAGTACCAAAACTAAGTCCTTATATGTGGCTTAATTGCCTGCCAGTATTTTATAGTCTTGGGAGAAGGCTGTGATTTGCTTTTGCTCCAAGCCGCTCATAATGATTTCAACTATTTCAAGAATGCGACTTATTTAATTTTTTACACTGCTTTATCCATTCCAGAGTATTTTTCTCTTTGAAAATAACTTCAAGCAAAATTGTCTTATCTGGACAGTGGCTCCCCAGTTAGAAGGACTCTCTTCGCTGGTGCTTGGTCCCCTTTCGTTTGACGGTACTCACCGTGCACCTGCCATGCGCCAGGGGTCGTATGTGGCGCCGGGTGTTTTGCATGTCAGATAATCGTCTAATTCACGTGCCAGACTTCACAGCTTGCTCGTTGTCATGTGGTGGTCCTCTGTGAGCACACCCCAGGTGCTCCTTTTTTCTGTCAGACATTAGGGTTTGTTCCTGTTTAGGGCTGTTTGAGTAAAGTTGCTGTACGTTCTTACGTGTGTTTTGAAGCATGACCTCATTTCTAATGGTTGTATGTCTGGAGGTGGGATTGCAGGGTCGTAGGGTGTACACATGCTAAACTTTAGTAGCTATCACTAGTTTTCCCAAAGTGCTTGTACCGGTTCATAGTACAGGTTGGGCATCCCTAATCCAACAATCCAAAGTCTGGAACTTTTTGAGGCCCAGCATGACACTCAAAAGAAACGCTCACTGGAACTCTTCAGATTTCTGATTTTCGTATTAGGGATGCTCAACTGATAGTGTATCTGCAAAAATACCAAAATCTGAAAAAATCCAAAACTCTTTCTGGTCCCAAGAGTCTCAGTGAAGAGGTGCTGCACCTGCGCCAGCGTGTTATGAGAGTGCGGTGGTTCCATCCCCCAACGCTTGGTACCGCTTGTCTTTCTAATTTTAGCCACTCTGCTGGGTGGTAGTGGCGTCTCACTGGGGCTTTTTACCTTCTTCTGTTGTTTGTGTTTGGCAGCTGGCCAGTATTTCCTAATGCCTGGTGATGTTGAGCTTCCTTTCATGTGCTCGTTAGCCATCTGGGTATCCTCTTTGGGATGTGCCTGTACAGTCTTCTGGTTATTTTTCTATAGGGTTGGTAATTTTCTTACTTTTTCATAGTTCTTTATTCTGGAAAATTTTTTGTCAGATTTTTTTTTTTGCTGAGATGAAATTTACATAACATAAAATTCACTGTTTTTAAGTGTGTTTCACTGGTTTTCAGCACATTCACAATGCTGTGCAACCGTCACCATGGTTCAATCACAGAACATTTCCATCACCCCAAGGAAACCCCGTATGTCCCAATTCTTCCCTCCCTCCATACCCTGGTAACCACTACTCTACCTTCTGTCTCTACGGATTTGCTCCCGAAGGGCGTTTCTGTAAGTGCGGCAGCGACAGCGTGGCCTTCCGTGGCTGGCTTCTCTCACTCCTGTGTTGTCTTCGAGGCTGGTCGTGCTGTGGCATGTGTCCGCGCCTTACCGCTTCTCATGGCTGAGCCGCGTTCTGTGTCAGATTCCCTTTTACTAACGTCTTCCAGCTTTGCGGCTTGCCTTCGCGCTCTCCTGATGGCGCTTCTGATAAACAGAAGTTGTTACTTTCAGCCTGATCCAGGCATCGGTTGTTTCCTTTATGGTTAGCACTTTTTATGTTCTACACGAAAGATCTTTGCCTACCCCTGGGTCTGTGTTACCTTCTAGAAATGTCATTGTTCTGCTTTTCTCATTACCTCTACAGACCGTCAGAAGGTGAGTTTAGTGTTTGATGTGAGGTAGTGGCAGAGATTCACTTTCCACCTGCATTTCCATGTGTTGAAAAGACCCATTCCCACTGTTGTGTAGTGTCCTCTTGTCAAAAACCAAGTTGCCGTGCATGTGTGTGTGGTGTGTGTGTGGTGTGTTTGTGTATGTGGTGTGCATGCTATGTGTACAGTGTGTTACACGTGTGGTGTGTGTGTACATGTGTGGTTTGTGTGATGTGTGTGTGCGTTGTATATGGTGTGTTTACGTGTTGGTGTGTGTACACATGTGTATGTCTGGTGTGTGTGCTTTGTGTATGATGTGTGTACATGTGTGGGTGTGTGCATGTGTGGTGTGTACACATGTGTATGGGTGTGCATGTGTGGTGTGTGTGTGGTGTGTGTACACATGTATGCTTTCTGTATGATATGTGTGTGGTGTGTGTGGTGTGTGTATGGTGTCTGTGTGTGTGTGATGTGTGTGGCGCATATGTGTGATGTGTGTGGTATGTGCATTGTGTGCATGTGTGTGTGCAAGTGTATGGTGTGTGTGCATGTGTGGTTGCGCGCGTGTGTGGTGTGTATGCATGTGTCATCTGTGTCTTGCCTACATGTATGTTGGTGCGTGTATGGCATGTATGTGTGTTGTGCATGCACGTGTGTGTTGTGCATGCACGTGTGTGTTGTGCATGCACGTGTGTGTTATTGTGGCATGCGTGCATGTGTGTTGTGTTGTGGACATGTTTGTGTGGTGTGCATGTGTGCACATGTGTGGCATGTGTAGCATTTGTGTAGTGTGCACCCATGTTCTGACTCTCCATTCGCCCCCTGATCTGCTCACCTGCTCTCTCGTGTGCCATAGCTTGACATCTGGTGGCATTTGGGCCCCAAGTTCATTCTGTGTCAAGATCATCTTGGCTATAGTCGTCATCTTTCCACATAAAAACCGAGTTCCAGCTTGTCAACTTTCACATGCAAAAAAGTGTTATTGACCTTCCAGTGAGCCGTCTGCCAGTTGCAGGAGCATCAACACCTCTGGTGCGGAGCCTCGTCACTGTGTTTCTGTCTGTACGGTTCCCAGCGGTTTCTTGTGTTGGTGCAGAGGTCTTGCCGCCTTCTGCTCCTCGGTGTGTGATGTTTTTTGATGCTGTTATAAATGGTATTCCTTTCAAAGTTCATTTTCTGTTTGTCTGTTGCTGCTATCTTCTATAGTTTTATTTTCTCAAGTTAAAAAACATTTTCTTTCAAGTTGTTTTGTGTCAGTAACATCTCATCAAGAAGTCTGTCTTAGGCTTTGTTACAGAGCTGCACTTAAAACCTAACATCATGACTGCCCATTCCACAGACTGATCTGGCTCCTGCACTTATTAAAATTAGACATTTCTGTATTTGTTGGTGCTTTTCTCTGGTTTCATGTCATTTCAAAGGAACTCTCATTACCTAAGCTGCATTCTCTGAGTGGTTTGAAGTTGATGATGGGAATACATTTTTAATGCCATAGTTAGGCCGTTCGTTGATTCAAGGTAAAGAAAATATGTCAGAAATATGTAAAATAAATTATGAAAAATCTTCTCATTCAAATGTGTATGTGCGTGTGTACATATATATATGTTTTTTTGGTGGCTGGCCAGTTCAGGGGTCAAGCCTGGACCTTGGTGTTACCTGTTCCACGCTCTAACCACCTGAGCTGACCGGCCAGCCCTGCATTCACTTTCTTCACAGCAATCTACGTGAATGATTGCTTCAAATATTTTAAATTAGTTTTGTTCTCCTGGTATGGTTAATTCAACTAGTGTTAGCTTCCGCACGTCATCTCTCAGATGACCCCAGCAGAGGCCCCTTTTCTCTATGACACTTGATTTTCTAGCTGTTCTCACGGTTGTTACTGTGGAGCTTCTGCTGGGTCTATGAGGGTGTCTTTGGGTGAACGTCCCTGGACGGGGTGTGATGTGTTCTCATGTAAAGCTCCGTGCCCTGCCCCTCCCGCCCCCCGCAGGTAACGGAGCTGCTGGACATCTCCATGGAGCTGGGCTGCTTCCTGGCCGGTGCCCTGGTCTCCTCCCAGGGCCACATGGCCACCGAGGAGATCACGTCGTACATCGAGCCCATTCGCGACTTCCTGGCCATCATCTTCTTTGCATCGATAGGTAGTCTCTCTTTACGTTATAATTGTATTTGTGAAACACTTGTGGGTTCATTCTTTGCTGTTCGAGTTCTGCATATTTATAGATGTATACATGCAGATGTGTACATACAGATGTGGACCTCATACAGCAACAACAGTCATCATAAAAAGTAAGTCTATTCCATACATCTCAATTTGGATTGCTAGCAGCCAGAAACTATTTATATTTTTCTAGAGTCTGAAGAGAAACCTTATTAAAAAAGAGGGAAAATATTCACTGAAGTACACAGATTAGTTATTCCTTGTCATCTTTTATTAGCGCTAAGGTGTGCGCTACTCATAGGCATTAAAGAAAACCAGTGACCTTCCGAGGAAGACGAACTTTGTCCTTGTTATACTAGTGTCACCAGGGTGCAAGTGACCCCACACGGCAAGTCATAGACACACGGTAGGTCGGCCGCCTAAACTAATGTATTGAAATGGTAAGTTTTGGAGGAAGTATTAATTTCGATACAAAAAAAATAAATTGAACATACCAAGGTGAGCTTCTCTAGACATCTCCCTGTGTTGGGGCATCTCCGGTGGCCACACTGGAAGCGAGAAGGTGGAGAATCACTTGGCTTCTGAGATCCCAGTGTGCCCACCTGGCACCTGTCCACTGACACACTTCAGTCCACACTGGTCCAGTCTGCGCAGTCCCAGCGAGACCAGGAACGGAAAAGCTAATTCTGAAATGTGTTTGGAGATGTAAAGGCCACAAGTAGCCCTGCAGCCCTGAAAGAGGCACAACGTCAGGAGGCCCCACACTCGTCAGCAGTGAAGTGTAGCCTCTCGTCAGCCGCTCTGTCACCCGGACGCTGTAGTGTGCACCAGCATCGGACCCCGCGCGGGGAGCCCCACCAGAGCCTGTGTCCCCGAGAGACTCTCGGCTGACATTGGACTCTCTCTGTCCCCTTATTTCTTCTGCCTCCTCCTTCTGCGCTCTGGCCTTCATGACTGGTGACTCCCCTCAGTGTGCTAAATAAGCTCTGCTAATTCTGATGTCTTGACCTTCCATTACTGGGTTGGTGACACACCTTCTTTTAGACAAGGTCTAATAAAGTTGGTGAGGTTTTAACCTAGTTTTTACTACATCCCCAGGTCACCTGCCTAGTGTGTGTGACATTGAGTCTCATTAGCTGGGACTTCACTGAATATGCATATTTTAGAGTTGCTCTTGTTAAAAATCTAAAATTTCATGAATATGTTATTTAAACAGACGTATTTGCTTTAATTACTCTCAAACTTAAGTTCTTATGATACTGAGAACCATGCTTTCTGTTAAAATAATAATCCTGCATGCTTTGCTTTGGTTCTTTACACTAAGTATATCCAGGGAATTCAGGTTAATTTCCCTGCCAGCTGAGAAACTTGTGCACAGCAAGGTTTTGTCCTGGGGTCTGAGCAGCAGGCAGCTGGCATCTGCTCCACTCAGGAGATGCCTTCAGCTGTGTGTAGGAGGCAGGGTCCCCCTGGTGAGGCAGAAGTGATGGATGGGAGTTCCCACTTCCACAAACCACCCTGGCTGTTTGCTCTGTGCTGGGCCCTGCAGCAACTCAAGGACACAGCCACTGGCTAGCAACTGCCCACGGGTGGGAGACGGCAGTCCTCGGAGGCCCAGCACTGAAGAAGGGTTCATGGCACTTCTGAGGAGAGATTGCCCTTGATGGCATGAAAAGCAGGGAGCAGTTTTGGCCCAAAGTGAGGAAGGGCTTTCCGTGCAGAGGGAAGAGCCTTAAGTGCCCAGGGAGGGCATGAGGGGTCACAGGGTCAGGCCAGAGGCCACTCGGGCGAGGGCAGAGGGTCATCTGGTGCTGAAACCCCTGGTCCTCATGTCAGCCCTGCAAGGTGGGCACCTCGCAGGTCTTGCTCCCCCACACATCTGTGGGCCGGGGTGTGACGGCCACGGGTGGAGATGCTGCTTCAGACAGTCCTGGGCCAGGTGCATGTTCTAGGCTACACATTCTGTTCACTTGTCCCACGAATCCACATTCACACAAAAGGAAACTGAGGCACACAGACCTCAGAGACTGGCTGGGGCCCACAGTTAGTAAGTGGTAGATCCAGGATGTGAGCCTAGAGCCTGTGCGGTTTACCATTGTGCTGTGTGTTGCGAGAACAAGTGACTGTAAGTAGGGAAATCATATACTGTCAGTTACACGTGAAAGATGCTGAAGTGCAGATTTCCCGTTTCTCACTTGACGTTTCTAAGTGCTGACTGTAGTGAATTCAGTTTCGTGGTGGTTCTTTCATTCCCACCCAGGAGGACTGCGCTGAGGCAGAGTGGAGGGGTGTCCTCTGGGAGGGGGTCACAGCCTGGTGGGGACAGAGGCTTGGACACTGCCTGGTGTGGCTGAGCGCAGGAAGCGGGATGAGCTTCAGGAGTCGGTGACCAGACAAGTGCCAAGGAGGACGTCCTGGGGAGGAAGAGAGGCTGGAGGTGGAGGAGGGTCGTTAGAAGACAAAATAAAAATAATAAAAAAATAAATAAATAAAAAATAAATGCGCAGGAGAAAAAAAAAGGAACTACTGATTCACGCAAAAATATGGATCAATCTCAAAATAATTATATGGACGGAAAGAACCCAGCCCCCCCCCATGAAAAGATTGCATACTATATGATTTCATTTATAGAAAATGCTAGAAAGTGCAAACTAATTGATATTGACAGAAATCAGATCAGTAGTTGCCTGGGGAGGACTGGGCAGGTGGGATTACCAAGAGACACACACAGCAATGTTGGAGGTGATGGAATGTTCAGTATCCTGATGATGGGGATGGTTGCACACATACGTCAAAACTTGACAAATTGTATACTTTATATATGTGTATTTTATTGTATGTCAGTTATATCTCAATATCTTAAAAAGGAAAAAAAAAAGGAAACACTTAGGAAGGAGGTTCTGCCTGGCTGTGAGCCCATGGGGGACCGTGGGGACCAGGAGGGCAGAGGCCTGACGCCCACAGTGCGGGCTGTGGCGGCCCACATGGATGGGATGGAGCGGGAGTGTGGCCTTTCAGCCAGGTGTGTGGACATGGGGTCAGTATGTCGGCAACTTCCTGAACAGGGATGTAGCCAAAGGAGGGCTTGGTTGGGCACCCAACGGCCCCAAGGCCCCAAGGGCTTGGTTGGGCACCCAAGCCCCACGGCCAACCTGCAAGGCTTGGGAGTGAGGCAGCCAGAGGGGATGGCTCGGGTTGGCAAGAAATGGGGAGCTTGTCATGGGCCAGGGGACATGAGAAAGGAAGCTGGGTGGGACCTGACGAGCGGTAGGCAGGCAGCAGGTCGGAGGAGGGGTCCGTGCTGCAGACCCCCGTGTGAGGACAAGGGGCCCTCGGCTGATCGCAGGAGCCCGAGTGGAGCAGGCGGCGGGGCATTTCCCACCTCAGGGGAAGAGGAGATCATGTCCTGGGAGGGAAGAGGGGGGCTTTTACCTTCGTGTTTCTGAAGAAAATAGAGGCAGATGGTTTGAGAATGACGGCGAGGTAACAAGCTGCAAGTTACTGCACATTTTAACTCTGGGGCCCTGGTATCTGCTGAGGGCTGGGGGCACCGGTGGGAGCGGGAAGAGCAGGGGGGCAGCCCGAGCTGGGGCCCCCACCCGACCTGCCTGACCCTCGGTGCCCCTTGCAGGACAAAGGGCCTGAGCAGCCTCCACAGGAGGCTCCAGGAGGGGCATGGAGAGCAACAGAAGAAAAATATTTAGGGAAATGTTTCCCGTTGTTTTCAACGTGTGCGAGTCAAGTGAACACGGAAAAGGGATGTCGACGACAGGCGGCCCTGACTGCGACCTTCTGGGTGCCGTTGGCCCGTGGATGAGTGCTCCTTCCTTCTGGTGGCGCCTCTCACTTGTTTACAGACTGCAGGGACCATCTGTGTCTCGGCCAGAACACTTTCATAAAGGAGAGTCGGCTGGCATGCGCCTCCCGTGTGTTCTGCACACCCTGCAGGCGACCCAGCTGCAGGATGCGGTCCCAGGGGCAGCCTTTCCCTGGAGGGCGATGCTTTTGCTGGCGTGCGCAGGTTCAGTGTGCACAGTGGAGCTGTAGACTTGTCACCGAGAGTGGCTGTGAGCTTGAAAAGGCTTCTGTGGGCCGTCCGGTGGTCATGGAGTGACTTGTCCTGTCTGTCTTCCCACAGGGCTGCACGTCTTCCCTACCTTTGTGGTGTATGAGCTCACGGTGTTGGTGTTCCTCACCTTGGTGGTGGTGCTCACGAAGGTACTGGCCCTTCCCCCGGGCAATCTGTGGCTGCTGAAGTCCACATTGCTGCTTGGCACAGACCTTACCTGTGGGACGCATCTCAGGCAGTGGCTGCGTCGGGTCTGGAGCCGTGCCCTGTGCCTCCGAGGGCCTGTTGGGGGACACTGCCTTGCAGGACCTGCTCATGCCCACGTTGCAGAGGGGGCTCTTCTGCTCGGACACCCTTGGCAGACCCTGGGGGCGGGACACAGATTCAGGTTGGGCTCGGTCATCTCTGGTTTGTCTCAGAATAGAGGACGTTTAAAATTGGGAATGACCAGCAGTTGAAGTGGGAGAAGCACCTTTCTAGATCCCCAAGATAAGTACTCATTCCTGATGAGTCTGAAGCACAGCGGGTCCTGACTCTGGCCACCGTCACAGGCATGGATTTCAGAGGCCACTGAAGGTTGCACGGATACTCCCCATTTGTCCGCTGTCAATGATGACCAGTTATCAAGTTGCCTGTGTTAGCATGTGATGTGTTCAGTAGTCATCTGGCTCTCTGCACTGCCAAAGTCAACTTAAAATATTTCCATTTTATTTTATTTTATTTTTTTCCTTTTTTTGTCTTTTTTACTGACCGGTAACGGGATCG